CCTTGATCAGTGGAATTTGTATTAGCTTTTTATCTCAGAGATACAGGACCTGACACCCATAATTTAAAGACAGAGGGACTTAGTTTGGCTTGTGGTGTCATAGGATTCAGTCTGAAATGGGCTGGCCCCACAGCTGGAAAATCATGGCAGTCTGGAAGAGAAAAGCTGTTTCCTCTGCCTTGAAGCAGAGAGGACAACAATGGCAAGGGATCAGGTATAGTACCCAAGGTCATGCTCCCATGACCCACCCGGAAACATCCAAAAGTATGCTGCAATAGTCCCCTGGGCAGCTCCCAAGCCAATCAAGTTGAAGCAATTAAGTTTAACCTCTATTCAATCTTAGCAGAAATGATGAAGATATATATACATATGTCTGATAATAAAGTTTGCCTGAAACTTAGTTTCCCTATGAATTTTCAGGTGAAGTCTAGACCCTAGGCAGCAATTGTTCCTTCAGCCAGGACTCCATAGTGAATTACATGGACATTTGAGCATGACCTTCTGCAGTGAAACAGCTCCTAGTACTTCACTGTACACAATTCAATTACATTTTATTCTAAGCCATTCTCCTGGAGAAGACTAATTCACAGTGTTTATCCAGAAAATACTTGTGAATACAGTATTCACCCAGTTATCAGATGATGATGATACAATGAACATAAACAATATTCTCAGCACTGTGACAAGAAATGGAAAAATTTCAAATTAGACTTTACCAGAAAGTTCATACTTCTGAAGCTGTAACGTTACTTTATTTTAATTTAGTGTCTGTGTGTAATCATGAGGCCCAGAGGAGAAAATGTCTGCATGACAAAACAATGGGTCCATAAAAAAGTCACATTCCTCACAACTGACCAAAATGAACATTAGAATAATCAAGCAATGAGGGCAGATTCAGACTGGCACAAGTCAGCAGCTGTTGGCAGGTTCACATCAAAGCATAATTTGAAATCATATTACCTCTCTGGTGTGAGAAAGTGAAAGAGTAAATGAGTGCTAACATCTTGAACAGATATTGTGAAATGGAAAGAGATTGTTCAAAAGGAAAAAGGAACTAAGGTGGGGTAAAGGGGAAAGGAAGAAAGGGAAAAGAGAAAAAATATGAGTTAGATATACTACTAGTGTCTCAGTTCACTGAAAACAAAAGTTCATGCTAATATGATTTGGAGAATTTTTATGCCTATATCTTGTATTCTGAGTAACTACTTTAAAGATAATATGCAATGTATTAACTATTGCTATTCTCCTATCAGTTTGTCATGAAATTTTGTTTTACCTTTTTTTCCATAAAATAAAAAAAAAAAAATAGAATGTACCTCATGTGGTTAAGCTCATACCTCAAAGTTTCAAAAATAAACCAAGGGAAGTATTCCTCTCACTTTTCCTGAAATGCTATGGTTACATTATTTCATTATCCTAGTAAATGAATTTAGTTTTGAGTGAGAACCAGTCAATGCTTCTACACAGCTTAACCCCAATATCTTTAGTAAAATCTTCCCTAAAAATTTAATACAAAGTAAACTTTCACTTGTACAAGTACATGATGCTAAGGTTGTGGCTTTCATAAGATGAATTACTTCTAGAGCAGTTGATTTCAAGAGTTTCAAAATGTTACAATACAGTGATTTCCCAATGAAAATTTTTATGAAAACTTAAACTTATTTTGTATTCTTCAAAATCAATTCAGCTCATATAATTTATTTTTTTATTTTTTTTATTTGAAAGAAAATAGTACCAAAAAAAAGAACAACAGCAAGATACAAACAAAGCAAAGCAAGGACATTAAAAGTGATATGGGGTCTCACACCAAATGGTAGGGATTAACAGTGGTTGTTATATTACATATTGTTATCTTCAACAAAGTTGCTCAGATTACCAGATGTAAGAATAAAAGGTTGATCAAATCATTAAAGGCAATAAGAAAATAATAGCTTAAACAAACATTAGAGATAATACATAGTGTCACGAGACAGGATTGTAGGAATTCATCAATGGTTGTTATACTGCAAATTGTTGTTGTCACATAAGTGGCTCAGATTACCAGATACAAGCATGCAAAATTGGTCAAAATTTTTAAAAAAACTTTATCATTAACTATTCCCTTCAACGAACCATTACACACCAGCAGTACAGTTATGCCACTGATGTCTTAGTACTTTCTTTTGCTTCAGACAGTTTAGAAAATCTGACAGATACTTAGCTCCCACTCTTCTTTAATACTGCACTAAATTCTCCATCTTTACTGGTAATTATTGCAGAGTTTGTGCAAATTTAATATCAAGTCACAATATTGATTGAATGGTTCCATATTGGCAACACATACCAATGTACATTTGGTAGACTTTATTGAAATAATTTTCATCATACTAAAAATGATGTCATATATTTCTTCCCAGAGATTACAAAATATAACATAACTCTTAAAAAGCTATAAATGTAATTATGTATCACTTAGCAGTTGGAGTGTATTAACATGTACTATACATGTACTAATAGTAATTATGGTACTTAAAAATGTTCTATAGGTTTTTCTAGGTTTATTAATACATTATCTCACCTAATATTTTAGCGTATAACATAAGTAACAGTAAGAATCTATTTCAAAATATAGTAAAATGAGTATTTCATATAACTCAAATTATACTGAGCATTTTTCTAGACTTAGAAATCCAACCCTGCTTCTGCACTTGTGCAGTCATGATTTGTGTGTTTTACTCATAATAAGGAAAGGAGCTTTGAATTCTTACTGATAGAGTTGGAAGTTTTCAAGCCCTGAACTTTAATGAGTTATACACTTTTACCACAAATGCAAAGTTTTACACCAAGATGTATGTTTTCTTTGTTTCCTAAAACATTATAAAATATTCCTTTGTACTGTTATAACCACGTCTTCTACATTTAAATTCCAATTTCACTATGAGATATTATATTGGAGTACTATGTCTTACATTAAACAACCATCTATTTTAGTATCTGTATGCGAATATTTCATTTTAAAAACACAATTTGACCATGTGAATAAAGACAGTAGCAAAAATGTTTGTGGTTTAGAAATCTGACCATCATTAGTTTTATTACTAAGTTTCCTTCTGTGGGCTTTTTAAAGGCTAAAAGTCAGAGAAAACTGTACTTAGCAAAGTATTTCCAATGTTTTAGCCATTGAATCTTATTTTTATTTTTATTGCAGACTATGGAAATATGACCCTTGAGACAATGAAGAATTTTATCACATAGTATTAGACCATTAAAATAAGGTTGTAAAGTTTTAGTAAGAAACGTCGTTATTTAAAAGTGACTACTTATGTGTCTGGTCAGATCCATTGGAAATACTGTGTGTAGAAAATCTCCCTGGAATAGACATCAGGAATTTAGTTTTTCTGTGGAATGCAGTTGATAATTCTGGATGCTACTAGAAGAGGGGTTATTATATATTTCATGGAGATTGAAAATCAATTTTAAACACAAATAAATATCAATGTAAACTTAATTTTTGATCTAGGTCTAATCTGAAATACCATTACATTCGAGGTGCATTAAAAGAAATGCAATCCCCCCAAGAAACACTTGAAATAATGTTACTAAATATATTTGTGAATAAAAAGCTCATGCAAAATTCACCAAGTTCATCTGCATCTCCAAGAGAAAAAGAAAAAAATCTTTAAGAATATAGGAAATAAACACTAAAAATAAACATTTTTGAATATTACTTATGCTATCATCTGTTAAGTCCACCCTGAAATTTTTGTGGATTCTCTATTTTATGATTCTTACTGAAAATATAATTAATCTATTTTATATATTGATGAATCATGAAAAAATCTTTAGTAATCAATGTAATTGCACCAGAAAATTACTTATTTTTAGGATTATATAATCTACATGCTAAGTGATAATTACTACTTAGCCTTCTGTACACTCATTCTTATATTCTATTTATATATTTTCATTCACAAAAGTTTCCACCAACAGCAAATACAAGAAAAATAATTAAAAATTGCCACTGATTCTAGAGTACTGGTAGTAATGTGTCTTTATAAGACTCCCCTAAATATGTGAAGGAACACCAAGATAATCCTACTAAGTGACCAACATTGAAAGTTTTTTTTTTATCTTAAAATTGTCTGGGAATCATCTGCTTTTGAAAAATGTCAATATCTGAAGTTGGGATTTCTATTTCATCCCACAGATAAAAAGATCTTTGTGGAGGAAAAAATAGTGCAAAATATTGCAGGTTGCTGAAATACGTTAAAAATGCACACACACACATAGAAAGAGGGTCAGAGACACAAAGACACACACACAGAGAAAAACAGAAAAATGGGGAAATAGAGAGAGAATTACTAAACACAATTTCAAATCATAGCACTAAAATTCTATGCACTCAAACTCATAAACCAATTTTCATTCCTTTACACAAGTATTATTTTTCAGTGACTCCACTCTTTTACAAAAACAGAGTACTTTGCACAATGAGGGCACCTGGTGCATACAGATTTTTATGAAATGCAAAGGGAAGGATGCTGAAATGGAAAAGAAAGAATAAATATTTGTAAAAGTACAATATCTCAGTGATATCCTCAGATAAGTGAAAATAACTTCCATTATATTTAAGAAATTTAGCAAAACCTTCCCCATTTTTCACTTGAATTTGGGGGTTATTCTTCAAAAATATCAAAGGAGTTGAAATAAGTAGTTCCAGGTGAAATATTACCCTATTTCTAATGCAGAGCCATGGAGTTTTCACTTCATTGCCACAGTTAAAACAGAAAAGAGTTCAATTGGGATGATTTGGACTACTGCAGTAGACGCCAAAGCTCAACACAAATACAAGAGGCAACAAGCAGAGTTAAGACATAAGAGTACTCTGCAAAGTTTGTTAATTCAGGATGTATAAATTCATGTGACATGAGGAACATCTACAAGCTAGTCATCTGGAAAACAGTTAAAATTGGCCACTTCAGGGATATTCATGTCCTCCAGTGCTAAAGAAAAAAGACCCCTTATTTTGACATGAAAGCATGGACCACATAGTCACGAATCTGCTTGGTTCTCACACCATAGATAATAGGGTTGAGGGCAGGTGGGATGACCACGTACAGATTCGCAACAAGAATGTGGATGTAATGGGGGATCTTTTTGCCAAATCGGTGGGTGAGGAAGGAGAAAAGTGATGGTGTATAGAAAACACACATGACTCCCACATGTGAACCACATGTGCTTAGTGCTTTATGACGAGCATCTCGAGATGGAAGGCAGAACACTGCATGGAGAATGTAAGCATAGGAGATTCCAACCAGGACCACATCCAAAATGAGAAAAGAAGCCACAAAGAGCCCATATATAGCATTGATGCGAATGTTAGCACAGGCTAATTTGGCAATGCCCATGTGCTCACAATAGGAGTGGGCAATAATTCGAGCATCACAGAAAGGCAGGCGATGGGTTAAGTACACAATGGGTAACATGAGCAGGATTGGGCGCATTACGATACCCACACCAATGCCTGCCAACACCCGGGGTGTCAGAGTGGTTGTATAATGCAACGGTGCACAGATGGCCACATAGCGGTCGAAGGCCATGGCCAACAAGACCGCAGACTCCATGCCCGTGAAGGTGTGTATCAGAAACATCTGGGCCACACAGGATCCAAAACTGACTTCGTGTGCATCAAACCAGAAGATACCTAACATTCGAGGCACTGAAGACGTAGACAGTGCTAGATCTATAGCTGATAAGATGGAGAGAAAATAGAACATAGGCTCCCTCAGTGTATGGTCAGACCAGATGACCAACAGAATTGTAGCATTGCCCAGCAGAGCCATTAAGTAAACAGAGCAGAAAGGCAGGGAAATCCATCCATGGAAAGCCTCCAGCCCCGGGATGCCTACAAGAAAAAAGGTGTCTGGGTGGAAAGTGGTGGTGTTGGTGTGGATCATCTTGACACTGATGAGAAGAGAAGTAGCTGACCAACTCTAGAAGGAAAATCAAAATTTAGAAATGCTTCGGTTAAATCTTTTCTGATTAGCTTACCCTCTACCTGTATTTTTCTTACCTAAGTAATGCAAAATTTAAGTCCAAAGTACGAAATAGGCAGAGATTGAACACTTCAAGTTGAATGGAAACTGACTTAATAGTAGTTTGAACAGTAAAATAGACTTTGAAAGACTTTCAAGCCTCGTCAAATGGTTGCAGTAGATGTGCTTACAAAGCAAGGGGAAAGTACACAGGAAAAGAGTGAATGCGAGGAAAAGAGAGGCAAGAAAAATAAAAGCCATGCCTTATCCACAGCATGCATAGAAGCACATCCAGGCAAATATATCCACCGAAGTAATCTCCTTAAAATTCACATGTACCTGAATTAGATATGTCAGTATCTACGCTGCAAACACAAAGCCATGACCTCAACAGTTTAAGCGAAAAGGTAAATAAATAGGAAAAAAGCTGGATAAAAAAACCAATATATTCTGTATTCCAGGTTATTAGAAGAAAGAAACTTTATAATTTGCAAAGTTATCTAAAGCTATAATTTCTTAAATATTTTCATGTACTTTACTTATGACATTAGAAGGAGTGTATTTTCAAAGCATCCAGTCTATTACTGTCTACACCTGCTGCATAGTAAAATGTTTCTTTTGATCATTTGTATCATTAAAAGAGCAATAGTGATTATGACAACAAGTTCAGTAAACAATCAGGCTATTATGTAGGTATTGATATGCAAGAGAAACCAGACTCAACACAGAGGGCCCACTTTACACAGGCAGTGGACAGATCAGTTTAAACTGGTTAAAGAAACAGGGAACTCTGAGGAAGAAGTGGCAAACATTTAAAAAGAAAGAAAGCCAAGAACAAGAGATGTTATTTGGAGGAGACACACTGTGGACTGTTCATAAGAACAGAGATTTTTTCTTCTTTAATATCTTATCCTTAGAATAACGAATACTTTAAAAAGTTGTGACACAGGCAACCCAAGGGTGAGTGCAGAACGTTTTCAGTCATGGAAAAACTTTTGTGTGATATATCAATGTAAGTGACAACAGTACACTGTATATTAAATAAAACTTTCTGTGTTTCAAAAAGACATCTATGAAAAACAAGAAACTAGTCAAATAATGTTACAAAGCAATAAAATATTTGTCCTTTGTGAGCACACTAGAATATAGAGTATAGTAGGAAAGATAATTGTTTTAGCTAATAAATGCATGCTTGATAATTAAAATATATTTTAACTGCTATGTACATTCAAAAGTATACATATCAATGAGACACTGATAATTAAAGTAAAAGGTAAAACTGCATTTCTTTTCTTTATAAAAGGAGAGATAACATTATATTTTAATTACAAATAAAATAATGAAAAATCGCATATATTACATCAGATAATTTTAACTTTCAGTGAGGCAGCATTTGAGTAGCAAAGTATCCTAAAGTTATTTAGACAACATGTAGAAATAACTGGAGGACATATGCAAAGCAATGAAATTGTGTAATTGTTGATCATATATCAATACCAGTCAGTGACTGACTGCATCAGAAATCCTACCAGCATGCCTATTTCCTAGCTATAAAATTTTAAAAATTTAATTGATCCTACTTTTAAAAATCAAGATATTTGTCTCTCACAATGAAACTTGTTCAAACCATTATTATTATTGATTTGATTGATTGCAACCCAATGTTCTGCAATATATAGAACCATGAGTTCTGAGGTCAGTCTAATATCTCCTTTATGGTTGTGTTCAAAAGAAAGTAAATAAGCATTATCTGCTAACTGTGTCATATTCCATAACTATTTGAGCATTTCTGTGCTCCATTTTCATCTACAATGAGATAGTAAATATAGATGTAACCAAAAAGTTCATTAGATTTAAAAAGACAATTATGTTAAGACACTTTAAACCATATTCCAAAGATACCATGTTGTGCATTATTTTAGATATCAGCAGATTGACTTTTGTAAAATTTATATAAAATAAGTTTGGGCCATAATCCAAATGGCTTTAGTAATGTTATTTGCAATTCCTGCCATAGCTCTTACTCATTTTCTAAACTTCATTCTGAGACTTCTTTTCCCAAAGCATTTTTGCCCCCTTGTCCTCTTCTGCTCTGCCTCTATCTCTCTGTCCTTCCCTGTGTTCTGTGGAAGCATCTCTGAAAGGAGACACAGGACTGACTCACCAGACTTAGCCCAGGATGGAATCCTGTCTCTGTATTTCCTAAGCCCATCCATTCACCCTTTATTAGGATACTTCCCATTGCCTGAGAGGCACCTGCGATAGAATATGCCCTAGAGATGATTTTGCAAAGCCCAAAAATCTCTGGGGAGTCTACTTAGTAATGTCATTTTGACTCATGAGGGGAGAAAATTAAGGAACCCCACATGGTTAAGAAAATAAAGTGATGTGTGGATCAGCAAGGTGGCAAACAGAAGGATTCCACCTTCATCTTCCCTCACAAACACTGATTTATTTACTACTCATAGAGAATAATTCTGTGGTTGCTTGACCATTCAAAGATGTTTCATCATCTTACTGGAGCAAGAATGAGAAAAGCAACATTGGAAATGGTGAAAAGGAAAGTCTTCCTTACCCACATGACACTTGCAATCCTTCTGCGACTGGCAGGAGAAATCACTCAGACCGAGTCCTCTTCTGGGAGAAAGAAGGCTCAGTGTGCATGTTTGTGCAATGGAGCGCTATTGGCCTTATAAAGTAATAAATTCTGTCATTTGTAAAAACATGTCTATAGTTAACTGCTCTTAAGATAAATTATCTTACCACAGAAAAACAAATACTGCAAAATCTAATATGTGCAATTTTTCAAAATGCAAATGTTCAACTCAAGAGATTGGAGGTCTAGGGCACTGGGGAGAAAATGGTGAAGGATACAAAATTCTAGCTAGGCAGAGAAAGAAGTTCAAGAATTATATGTTTCATAACTGCAATTATACTTAACACCATTCTATGATACACTTGAAAAGTACTTTTAAAATAGTGTTAAAATTTTTTCTGCTATTATGAAAGACCTGCCCCAGTCACAGGAATGATATCTGCTATGAGTTTTGAAAACGTGAGCCAGAGAGCTGACCATTTTCCTGACTCTGGTTAACATAAATGTAAACTATTTTGGCTTTCATCCTCTTCCAAATGCTCTACACTGGACTCTAACTGGATTTTATTGTCTGACGTCTCATGAATACACCATTTTAGATGCTTTTCATCTGTAAAATATCCTTTTTCAACTAATTAATTTAAGGAGCTAATCAATCTGTATTAGTGCTTCATGCATTAAGGAAAATTGTACCTGAGAATACAGGGTTATACACTAGAGAAGACAGAAAAAATAGTTCTTGTATAGTGTGGTTTAAGTGGGAAGAAAGACACAGAATAACAAAAAGTAGAATTGTTAATTTCAAGTTACTTTTCTTTTTTTATTTTGATTTTTTTGAAGATAATAAAAAATAACAAAATAACAGCAACATAGACAAAAACCAAGCAAAGCAAAAACAATAATAATGATACAGGTTTTCACCAAAAAAAGATAGGAATTAACAGTGGTTGTTATATTATGCATTAATAATGAACGTAATTTTACGTAATATATTACGTAATATATCAAAGAGATTTTCTTTCTCCTGCTGACTGAGGTTAACAGGCTTTTTCTGATTAGTGGCTGTTAATCTGTTTTTAGGAGAAATGGGTCAATTCAATGATTTCCCTATCGGTTACACTTTGAATTCACTGCATTTTGTCCAAGTGAGTCAGTTCTGCCTTGTTCTGGTTTGCTATATTCTAATGCAAAAGTTCAATCAAAAACAATCAACTCCTATGAATTTTAATTAACAACTCTTTTCTCTAACTGTATTGCACATTACAGATATGACTTTAGCACTTTTCATGAAGGCCTCTTATATAAATAGCCAAATTTCCTTTTCTTTTTTGGTGGGGAGGACTGTATTTACTCATTAATGCTGAATTCATAGTCAAAAGCACTATATCTTATGTCTCTATGAAACAAATGAGTTTTAGGAATATATTCTCTAATTCTGTGAGGGATGCTAATTATATTTGACTGGGATTGCATAAAACTTTTATAATAATTTTGGAAATATGGTCATTCTTACTATGCTGGGTCTTCCTATCCAAAAGCAAGTGATATCTTTTTATTTTCTTATATTCTTTTCTATCTCCTTTTTCAAAGTGCTGTAGTTTTCAAGGTAGGTGTCTTTCACTCTTTTTGTTATATTGATTCCTAAGTATTTCATTTTGTTGGTGCTATTATGAAAGTTGTTGTTGCCCTACTTTTTCTCTCAGTGAATTTTTTCTTTGTGTATAGAAATACTACTTATTTTTAAGGGTTGACACTGTCCCGAGCTATGTGACTTAATTTGGTTATTAAATCTGGGAGTATTTTGGTGGAGTTTTCAGGGTCTTCTCATGAAATCCGCAAATAATGTTAATTTAACTTCTTCCTTTCCTATCTTTATTGTTTTATTTGTTCCTCTCATCTAATTGCTCTGGATAATTTTCTCAGAACTATATTGTATTTAAATGTTTACAGTGGACATGCTTGTCTTTTTCCTGATTTTCAGTGAAAGTTTTCTGTTTTGACCAGTCAGCATGATGTTGACTGTATTTTTGTCACAGATGACTTTCACACGATTGATATAAAGGTCATCTATTCCAATCTTCTGTAGAGTTTTTTTTTTAATCATGAATGGGTGTTGAACCTGTTGAATGCTTTATCATGTCTATTGAGATGACTATGTGATTTTGTCTTTGGTTCTGTTAATATGGTGTATTACATTTATTGATTTGCATATAATTTTAAGGGTTGACACTGTACAACCATCTGTACACCCCTGGGATGAATACTACTTGTTCAGAGTGTATGATCTTCTTGATGATTAGCTGCATCTGTTTCCTAGTATCTTATTGAGGTT